GGGTCAGAGACGCAGAGCAACGAGACGGAAGGGCGCTGGCACCCCCCAACTACATTTTCACCCTCATTCTGTTGCTTTTGTTTACAGAGATCAACGTCATGTATAACTCTCTTGAGTTAACTTTTCCTTTTTTTGAGTTCATTCGTTCAAAGGCACTTATGGGGTCAGGACGTGCTGGGCACATTCGTAACAGGTACATTTTTACGCAGATAAATGCGTATAAAGACACCTACTCACTCAATGCTGTTGAAAGAGAACCCCATAATCACATTCGATCGAAACCTTTAAGGCACTGTTTACGATAATTTTGAGGTGCCCTTTTCTATTCGAAAAGCGGAAGTATAGGTTGGGAATAGTTCATCGGCGGTGAAGAAATCGACAGAGTTCGCCAATCTCGAGGAAAATAAGTCTCCTCAAAAGTATGGAAAATAGAAGTTGGACGAGATTGCCATGACGGAAATGGCATGGGAGGGGTTTTTGGACGAGATCTTAATTGTTGTAATGAGCAGAGAGATGACTACATCGAGCAGAACTGTACAGGACCTCACTGTAGCTGTCGGTCGTGACAAGTTGTTTTACATGGGTTCCCTTGTCTATGCTGCAGTACCTACAATGCCGTTAAAACTCGTCCGCGCGTACACACGGGGCAATCTAAGGACGAAAAAGATGGGTTGCTTACGATTATATTCGTATATTTCGTAACTTATGCTAGTGTTTTCAAATTTACTGAATGATCTGTACACAATAACACACACTGTGTAGCTCGTTCAAACACCCCTTATATGCCCTTCTTTTGGTGTTATTCTTGTCCAACCCCCTTTTTGACAGCTTTTATGAAGCTTTTTATCTCTTTGGAAACACCGATTCTCGTGCTGAACTTGCGGTGACTGGTTTTAGACGAATAGCAGAAGTGATATTTAAGAGTAGTGCAAAAAAAGGCGAAGAAAGCACGAGAATAGGAGTATTTTGAGAGGTATGGTGCAACTTCTACAATTTCTAAAACGTCTTGATTACTCGTCCGCCTAGGGTGTGTACCTCGTCTCGGCCTGTTTTGGGGGCACTTATTACGCCCTATTTGTGCCGTTTTTCACCCGACAGCGTCCCTTGTGCTACCGTTGGGAGTCACAGATTCATCCAAAGAGGAATATTAAGAACCATTTCTCATCGTGGACTATGTCTTTAAGATTAGGTAGTCGAGCCGCCCGGCTAACGTCGGGCTTCATTCCTTCTTTTGAATTGATATAATCCAAACCGCCCACTTCTCCTTTGGAACGAATGATACTTTTCGGAACACGAATTTGACAAGGACTGGCACAGGCAAGTATTCAATACGTGCTGATGCTTATGTTTATAATTAGGGTGCTGATGCATATGCCTATAATTGGAAGTCTTGATCTGTTGCTGTTCATCTTGAACCATAATGACCCATTGAAGGTTCAAATGGTTCCGGTTCCAAATTGAATTTCTTGTTCACGCCTCTCCTCCTGTGCGAGTCTGGTCCTGCCACCTCCCATCAGTGTGCCAATGGTGCCTGCATCTTGTACTCCTACCAAATTTCAGCGCTCTATGTCCACGGAGGCTGGGGTCCCCTGTGACGAGGCCCGGTTCTGCCACCCACCATAAGTGTTCCCATCCCGCCGCCTGTACTCCTACTTAGTTTGAACTCCCTTGGTCCACGGAAGCCGGAGTTATGAATTTCAGCTCAATCATTTATTCCGCACAAACACTGCCTTCAGTGCTCTTAACAAATTTGAGTGCTCTAGGTCCAGTGGACAGGAGTTATGATTTTTCGGTCAAACACACAAACAAACAACAGACACACTTAGCGCGTTATCTATAGTAGGGTCGTATGGTCTAATAGTAAGAATTAGTTCAAGTGTATTTACCAGATGCTTGTATTCTTTACTAAAACTGAACTCATTTAGACGACAGTGTTCCGATAAACGGAACGCCACGACCGGCACAACCTCTTCCTCGAGAAGAACCTCCCGAAGATCCTGAAGAGAAAGCGCGTCTCATTTCTCAAGTTCTCGAATTACAAAATACTCTCGATGGTGAGTGCTTTGCATTAGTCTTAGTCTTTGAATATAGGATTGGTGAAAGATGCAGTGCTTTCCTCATTTCAAGACTATCAAGTCGTTCGGAAAGTATCTAACAAAAATTTCACAGTATTGCAGGTTTTTCTGAAATGTTCTGTAAGCTTCTATGAATTTGCTTTGTAATAGAACCACTTGATTGCGCACAACATCTGTCTCGCTCTTCCTATCTTTTTAATAGTGTAATGACCGACTGACTGTCTCTCCGTACTTAACCTCGATTCCCCACTTCCACTTTTTAGTTGTCGTTTTCGTTTTGCGGCGAATCGATCTTAGTTGTCTCGCGGCTTCAAAGTGCAATTACCGTACTCAGCCCGCCCTCCGGCCAATCAATCGAACACCTTATATTTATTGACGACCTTTCTTCTGATTGCTTTTGGTTGTTTCTTTCTGTTTCTTCTTTGTTTTTACGGCCATTGGAATTGTTTCTTCGAAATGACTCTCTGCTATCAACGATCAAGACCGCATTGGAAATGAAGAAAGTGGCCAAAATGAAATAAAAAATTGAAGGGCTCTCAACTCACAGTTTGCGCACTTCCATCGCAAGCGCGTGCCGCTAGCAATTGTTGGAAACACTGCACGCCGATGTATCACGTGGACGGTGTTGTCAACAAGTGGCCGGCGCCGCCGCCGACCGCCATGCGTGCTCGCAAGGCCCACCGGCGGAATCTGAGAGCAGCACACCGGCATACAGCTGGTTTCAGCACGCTGCCTGCGTTCAAGATTCGGGTCTCGGTGCGAATGGTGCAACCTGTACAGCTTATTAAACGCTTTACATCTCATCCGCCTTGAACGTATATGTCGACTAAGCCGATTTTGGGGACTCTTATTACACCCTATCCTGACTGTTTTCCGACTCAACACGGCCTTCACAGGTTCATCCTGGGAAGAATTCTCAGAAACCATTTGAGGTGAACTGTGCCTTTAAGATCAAGAGCAAGAACTGAGGATTTTGCTAGCGTGAGCAACTGTAATATATGACCTGTTCGAATTTGTAGTGTCCGCATAATTGGTGGAAGAAATGAATGATTTTCTCTAATGGATAGAGGGTCGAATGTGCATTTCTACTTTGTGAAAGAAAGGAGTGAAACTCAGCGTAAGCGATACTTCTGGTTATAGTGATATGCAGGCATACTTTCAGCATCCGAAAATTCGTCCGAGCGCTCCATTCGTATTTATAACCTCGCTCAGGTCAATAATTGAATTATTTTTGAAATGCATAGCAGAAACTTGACGAAACCCGCGTCACGGTATAAGATGCCACAGATACGAGTATCTGGTTTCAACAAAATCAAAGAGTTCTCTGGCAGCGCGCGATTTAAAGCTAAAACAGTTGCGAAAGGTCCAATCAGGTCACTCATCAATAGGAGTTGAGTTGAGGATTGTAGCAGCATTTTGTGTTTGCTTTTGCTTCTCTGAGCATTTTTTTGGCAAAGCTGTTGAAGGATATTTATTTGAATTAAGAACTTGATTTGAAGGATGCATTCACCACTTACAGGACGGATTTCATGGTTCCGTGAGTGTGTTAAGTGTACTTTGGGTGGAGCGCATGGGGAGGGAGGTCGCTTACTAGGGAGGTTACGGGGTTACTGTATCACACATTCACGGGGCGATGTAATCCTGCTAAGTCACCAGTTAGGTCCCTTCAATTTGTTGAAATTCGTTTCAGATTTGAGTCAACGCGTGGATTCGGTAAAGGAAGAAAGTCTCAAATTGCGTTCCGAAAATCAAGTTCTGGGACAATACATACAAAACCTAATGGCGTCTTCATCAGTGTTTCAATCTTCGAATACTGGAGGAAAACAGTAGGATTTTCACCCCATTCATTTCAGTGTTATTCTCAATTGTTTGTGCTATAATTTTTCTATTCATTTATTTACAACGCTTTTGCCCTCAACATCTCAATCTGTTTTGTTTGACAATTTGATTCTCTACTATTGCTTTGCTCTAGTCAAGTTGTGATTATGACAGCCTTTACATAATTTCATTGCTTTATTCTTTTCATTTCAATTTCGATCTGACTTGCCTGCATAATTGTAGAAATGGAAATAAAAATAATTGTATCGTTAGTAGCCGATTCACCCACAGTTGCATGATGCTGTGCATGCCGTACTGTGTTTCGTCCCGTAATGTTCTGGATTTTCAGAAACGATATGCTTTCAAGTGTTTTCGAATGGTGATCGTCTACTGCGCAAGAAGTCTGTGATAAACCATAGCAATCAAGCAATACAGGCCTAAAACTGTTACTGTTGGTGTCTTGTTTTCACTCTTTGTGCTGCGCTATAATTATTGCTGCTAACTTTATTGTTATCGTAATGGCATGATTCGTCGTGTGCTTGTTTGAGCTATTATTCCTATGGATTACGTTAGGAATGGCTGTTGTGAGTATTCGCAGACACCGTTTCACCTGCAGTTGTGTGCTATATTGAGCTACTGTTAAATCTCCGGCCCTCGCTCTGCTCAAATTATTTTTGTGTGACCACTAATCCACCTTTGAATTGTCGGAAGGGAGGGTAGCCTCATAGTGAAGAGGTGAAGAGGCCGTGCCTGATCACGGTTAATGTCCGCGATAGGAGGTAAGCACTTCTGGAAACTAGATCTTACCTTCGTAATCCCACGAAATTGGTGTCGTGACCTTCTATTGATGAGTTTAGCATGGACCATGTTAAGCAGGTTTACCATAATGTTTGTGAAATTATCGTAAACATTCTAATTCCTATCAGTAGCCACTATTTGGTTCACAAATGGGAGGTTTCACTGGGTTTGAAGTTCAAATCGCAGACTGTATCTCGCGGCGTCAGGTGTATCTCCCTCAATTCGTGCCACACCTGAACTTCCAGCTTTTTATTACTCCAAGTTTTCCGATACTCTTGTTCATTCCCTATCAGTAAAGCCCTACATAGGTTACATGAAGGTGGGCTTAAGTTAAAACTATCAAAAAGCCTTAGTCTATGCCTAGTAACCAGCCCACCTTGAAGTAATAAATTGCTGGAACGAAAAGTTGTGAACCAGCGTTGACATGCTCTGTAATAAGGCATTGCCACCTAATGTTTTACCTATATGAAAGAACACACCAGCAGCATTTTAGACAAGGCAGAAGTAATAAAACGAATTGAGCGGAAAGCATGCTCCACTTGACACTTGTTCGATCTGTTCTTAAAATTACACGTGGAAATGAAAATGGTGAAGTTCCTCAATAAAAGTTAGGAACTCCTAGAAAGCTTTTTAGAGAAGCGTTCAAGAAAATCACTCGGGGCAATCGAAACCACTCTCTGAACGACCTAATACGTGCCACTCTATTGTGGTTACCTTCACGCCACTGAGGCCAAATCGGGATTTGTGCTCCCGTCGCGCTTCTGCCAAGTCTCGCGACGCGAAGCCACACCGTCAGAAAGCAGTTGAAAAAATGACTGCATCTCGACGAGTTTGCTGACGAACTTCTAATTCATAAGTATAGTTAGTAAAGTAAGCGGGCGCACCCAGTGGAGCAGCTGATTTCGTGTTACGAGAGTCGTCAGATTAGGAAATTTTATCTTTGTGGCATCAATACAGAGAGAGAAGGCAAGATGACCCGTTAAAAAACAGTAAACGCACCTACGAGCAATGGGCATGAAACGGCCATACAAACAACTCTATTACGGCACTAGGATACAAGTCAGCTCTTGGTATGGAGGACATTGCCCTTGAGATGAGAAAGACGCTGGGCATGAGTTGAGAAGGTACAGAGGAGTCAACGCCATTCGGTGTGGCTTCTGCCAAAGTTCCCCTCGTCGCATCGACTCGAGGACTCTGAAAGTCATACGGAGGGTTTATAGCGCTTATACAGTAAACTGATAATGTAAAATGCGTCCACGCTTACACCTCTCCTATTTATATGAAGTCCGTCTCAGACTTAAAAAACTGAAGGACAGAACTCTGTAACGGGATATAACCCGCGAAAACGCCACTCGAGAGTCGAGGGTTGAACTATGGCATTGATCGACGCTGCTCAGTCGAGGATCCGCCGCCAGAACGGTACTGTGTTAGGCGGTTCAGTGGTTTTTAATAATAACTCCGGTAATAACGGAGTAAAATACAGCAACTGTAATAGTAAGCGCGGTCGTTACCGCTATAAAATGCAAAGAAGGAAAGTGTTAGTAATAAGTGTTTATCTAAACGATACAACCCACGTGCTGCCTTTGCTGTTGCTTTGGTAGAAGTGAGGGACCTACTTATCTCGGGGCCGCTTGACCCCGCACCGTTTAGGGGCGTGGGTTAAGCTAGAGTGAGTCGTCTCAGACAGTGAGACGACGAGATAGTAGTTAAGGTGAGGTGATCGTCGTCTTAGACGACGATAGGTACTGTCGTCAAAGAATTTTTGTGGCCAAGGATGAATTGGCCGTGGCGGTATCGCGTGGTTGCCACATTCATCCTTTTGTAGTCGTTTAGGAAGTTAGCTGAATTGTCGGAAAAATTGTTCTTGTAGTCATGACTACCACTTTTTTCGCGTTTTTGAAAGAAATCCGCACTGATCAGCTCAACGCCGAGCTATTCGAGGCGCGTCTGAAGGTGGCGTGACTGCTTGTAGAAAGGTTACGCAAACCTGTGCTGGTTTGATGCAGTTCCCTAGCAGAAGCTCGATTAATTGAACGCATGCGTGAGCTTCGTCCGTTTTGAAGTGTGACTTACTGGCTGCTTCTTCAGAGGGGCTCTCAATATCGAGAAACATAGAAGACACCCCCTGCGTGGGAAAACGCATAGCTGTCAGCAAGAGCTGTCGCGGCGTGAGACAGTTAAGGAGGGTGCCACAGTAGGCTACAAGACTGGGGAGCGCGTTCAGCGCGGGGTGCGCTCTGAAGGTCGTAACAGTAAGAGACACCGGAACTGCTGCTGCTTCGACTAAGACGCTCATGACGCTACGAGCGCCAAAGCGAGATGGATTCAAAGAGCGATGACACCGTGCGTGGGGTTTAAGTTGCTGTATGTCATCTATGTATCGTTGCTCCTCTTCCGGAATGCGGCTAGCTATAGCCGCCAAGGCGAGCTCGGGTATCTGAGACGCTTCGTCTCCTATTATAGTGCCAAACGAGCTGGAGTGCCTGCGGAAGAGACTGTTCGCCGGATCCGCCGTGTTCAGGAGAGACGCGGTAGTAAGACACATTATAGCCAGGCGTCGATCTCGTAATACGTGTTTGACCATATTCTCCATTGATTGGGAGACTTGAATATTCTCTATTAATTGCGAGACTGAGTGCTCCGCAATCGCGTACTCATGCTGGTCCTCTTCGGACATTTGCACGAACCCAGTGGGATCTGCTAAGTGCTGCTCTAGGAGCTCACGCTTCTCCTTGAATCTTTGGCAGAATTCGTGTTCAGCTGGATCGAGTTGAGTCCCATATTGAGCCGAGCGACTTTAAAATCACGTTCAGGTCTACGCCTGTCGGGTAGAGGTTGTCGAACGCTGCTGTGTCAAATAACAAACTACTTCAAGATGAGCAAAGTTATCGAGGTGTAAAAAGGTCTCTGCGAGTTGCGCATTAGTAGTCGCTGTCACAGCTACTATCGATGGTGGTCGCGACGCGATAGGCGCCGCTATTATAGCTCCCAACATCGTCTTACCTGTGCCGAAAGCCGCCTGTATGGCTACGATCGGCTCGTTGCTGACTGCGAGTCGTATGGCTTTCGCCTGTTCGTAGGTCAGAACCATGGTTGTTCCGCATAACTGGAAAGACGGGGTAACCACAACGGGGTCGCCGGCTTGCGCATAATCTATAGGAGCGTCCTGGCGAGCGGAGTGGGGCTCAAATCAGCGAAAGTCTTCATATGCGCTATGACCTTATAAATAGCTATACGGTTGCTTTGCCTGCAAAGGCGCACGTCCAAGTCCACAAAGATTAGTACGCCGGAGTGGCGACCATACCTGTGGGTTGCGTCGTTAATGCTGAGGTGCGGCTAAATAAAGGCTTCTATGGTGATGTTTAGAGCGCGTTGGTAGGATCTCGACACCAGTTATCGGAAAATGCTACTGGGCCCAAGAACGTGCAAGGCTACGGGGCGCTGCAGAACCAGCTCTGAGGTCATGCGGGGTAGTAATGCGGACGAATCGTCGAGGCTGTTACTCGGTGGGAGAGGGATCGTCTTCCGCAGAGTTGGTTGCCGCCAGGGTAGAGCACACCGCGTTGGATAACTTCGACGTGCGTAACTTTGCTTCGTCGCGGTTGTTGCGATAGTTCTCAAAGGGACCTGCGCGATCTGCTGACCAGGCGTGGTCACTTTCCTGCAGCCGCTAGGTCCGGAGCAGGACTAACCCTTCATCTGGGTGCATGAGAGAGAACTGGTGACCCAGTTTGCCTACAAAGGCCTTTCTGGTAGGTCCGAAGAACGCATAGCGCAGGAGACTTTAGAACGTGTGGTGGCCACCACAATTCCATCTTCCCTCACGTCCTTGAGGTTGAAATCGCAGATCGGGTGAGTTAGCGTAACGGTTACGTCTTCCTTCCAACACAGCCTTAACGGAGGCGACTGTTCCCACACGCGGGTTTGCACGATGATAAATGCCCTAAACCGGCTCCGGCAGCGTCACTGGCGTCATGAAGCAGATGATTCTACGCAGAGATCATGTCGAGCGCTGTAGTGCGAGGGTATCGCGACGCGTTGAGGGTGGCCTCAGGATCCCGAAGGGCTTGGCGAGTGGGTTTGACGTCGTACACCCATACGAAGTCCTTGACCGATACTCTGGCTTTAATGAAACCGCGCAATCCCGTTAGATGGTTGATCGCGAATCGATCCTGTGACCTACTTGGTAGAGCACCGAGCGGCGTCCATCGCGT